GAGGGACTAAACCATAAGTTGGAACGATGGCGCCTTGCCCTTGAGACTAAAGGATTCAGAATAAGTAGGAACAAGACTGAATACATGGAATGTCGTTTCAGCGGCCGGGAAACAGAATCAGAAGTGGAAGTTAGGATTGACTCTCACGTAGTACCTAAGGTAGACAAGTTCCGATATCTTGGCTCGGTAATCCAGGCGGATGGGGAGTTAGACAGGGATGTTGAACATCGTGTTGGAGTGGCTTGGGCCAAATGGCGGTTGGCCTCAGGGTGTTGTGTGACCCGAAGATTTCTCCCAGGATGAAAGGTAAGTTCTACCGATCTGTAGTCAGACCTGCTATGTTATACGGGGCAGAGTGTTGGGCGGTTAAGAAGACTCATGTGCGTCGTTTGCATGCGGCGGAGATGCGGATGTTAAGATGGATGTGTGGGAAGACAAGGTTGGATAGGATTTCAAACGAAGTTATCCGACGTCAGGTAGGCATGGCGCCGGTGGAGGATAAGTTGCGGGAGGCGAGGTTGAGATGGTTTAGGCATGTGAGACGGCGGGATGTTGATGCCCTTGTGCGGAGGTGCGAGAGGATCACAGTTATCGGGGGAAGTAGGGGAAGGGGTAGACCTAGGAAGAATTGGAAGGAGGTGATTAGACAGGATTTAGGACTTCTCACCCTGACTTGAGGATATGGCCTTAGATAGGAACCTTTGGAAGACTAGGATTAGAGTAGCTGGTTAGGAGCTCAGTGCTGTAGAGGTTTTTTGTAGTGTGTTGTGTTTGTTTGGTATCTTCTACTTTTGCTTGCTGGACTTTCATTTCATTGTACTTGGTGCTTTATCCTGTTATATCCTGTTATATTGTGTTCTCTACCATATTTTTTGTGCAGGTTGAGCCAGGGGTCTCTTGGAAACAGCCTCCCTACTTTCGAATAGGGGCAAGGTCTGCGTACACACACCCTCCCCAGACCCTACTGTAGTGGGATTCAACTGGGTTGTTGTTGTTGTTGTTGTTAGATATTCAAACTAAATATCCACCATCACTGGACATTGTTCCTGCAACTAGATGTTATTTAAGTACTATTTAGGAAATAAAAAAGTTTATTTAATACATTGGTTTACGACATACGTAGTATGTTTTAGTCTTATTTATTGTAAATTTCACCAAGTTTTTTGCTCATTTGATTTTTCACGAATTTCGACATAACACTTTGATCCTTAATAATTACAGAGTATATTAAAGTAAATAAAAAACGCTGTTACAAAACTATCTTTCATTGATTTTTAAAGGACACATGCCCTACCTTACAAGAGTATTTAGTAGGAAGCTTCAAATGATGTATTTCTTGTTGGTGAATGGTGAAAAATTAAGGTGAAAGAAACCTAATGGTCTTAATCCAATAACTAACAACACTCCCTAATCCCTATAATAATCCACCTAATGGTCTTAATCCAATTTCTTGTTGATATTTATACTCCATGGGGTCCTTTGTAGTTAGCACATTTTTGAAACAAAATAAAAAACCTTTTTCGTATTTATTGATCCTAGTAAAATGGACTTTATTATATGTGGGTCTTTGCATTCATATGAAAAATAAAGTTTCTTTTTTAAAAATACTTTTACAGAAACATGTGTTTCATTGTATGTTCTTTGCAAAGAACACGTTGATGACCAATATAATCACATTTCTTAACATCTAAGAAGAAAGGGCGTTTTTGACCGGTCAACAAATGCTCTTCAAAGTATAAACTACCTTTGTCTAATCAGACTAATTCGAAACAAATTGGACAAAATTTAAACTTCAATTACTCTCAAATTAAATTTTAAAAGAGCTGAACAAGATTAATCTAATAAAATCATTTTAATATTACGAAATAGTATACATTACAAGTTTTGCTAAATTAAAGCTCAAATTTCATCTTGTTTGATTCGAAAAAATCAAAATGGACAAATACATTAAGACGAATGAAGTAAAATATTAAAAATATGCAACGGAATGGTAAATATGTTGATTGCAAAATGCTCATAGGGAGGCCATTTTGAAAGGGATCCTTTTGCTATTAGCTAATCAAACTTGTTAAACCCAAAGTCATTTTCTTGTAGTTTAATTTGTCCTGTTTTGTGGAATCGAAGTAACGTGCAACTCATTTCCTACCAAAACAATTTCCTCAAAAACACACCTTACAAATCAAATAATACATACCAAAAGTACAAGATATTATGCTAGATTTTTACAAGAAAAAAAAATGTTCACTTTCAAGAGTGCCCTATAACTTTAAATTAATGTGTGGTTAGGTTGGAAGAAACCATGATCAAGGGACTATTAGGGTCCGTTTGGTATACGGAATTGACGGAATTGGAATTGAATTGAAATTGAAATTCCATGGGATTCAATTCCATAGAATTGAATTTTGCCAATTCCAATTCATTTTTTGCACTATCAATTCCAAATCCACATAATTTTTGTGCTACCAAACACCAAAATTGGAATTGATGTCCTAAAGTCCAATTCCATAGTCTGAATTCTGTGTACCAAACAAAGCCTTACTGTCTATAGTACCCATCCTGGTTACTAGGAGGATAGGGAGGAATGGAGTAAGGTGGTGGCGGCATAGGCCGGGGTTGGTGGGGAGGGGCATTGTTGTAGTACGAACCATGCCACCCGGGATACGGAGATTGACCATATTCACTATGGCCCGAGGGCGGGTACTGTTGGTAGTGAGGGTGGGGTGGGGGTGGGGGGTAGGTGGGACCCGGAGCGGGGAAGTGATAGGGAGGCAATTGCCGTTGATGATTGGTGGGGTATGGGGGAGGAGAAACGGAAATCGGTTGGTAGACCGGGTGGTGTTGGGGAGGGGGAGGGTTGGAGGGATTTGTGGGTCTGGTGGGTTGGGAGGAATTCAGATNCACGAAATCGCTGCATTGTTGCTTTACATTGATGATTGCATCCTGTTCAAAGTTTGGAACTGTAAATCTTAGACATAAAAACTAAACTATTTTTTCACCTTACTATTAAAAGGGTGCCAAATATGAACTATAAATGAATATACAAAAGGCTAACCAAAGGCACAAAACGCACCCCCCCCCATATACACCCCTCCCCACCAAAGGCACCATTTACTGCATCCAAACACATCCCAAACAAGACCCCCAGTGGTTAGACACTTGGGCATGCATATAGAAATTAGAAAGTACTTTTGGGCTAATTAACATGATATTCTGAACCCAATGCTTGAAAGCCAGAGAGCAAAAATTGGAAATCTCGTACCTGAAGAGTAACGTAGAATTTCAATCCTTCATTAATATTATCCTTGATTTCTCGGTATTTTGCCACTGCAGCTTCAATCTGCCTGTACATCTTCTCTCTATTTGCTGCGAGTGTAGACAGGGAAGAAACCATGCATCATCAACATCAACAACCTACTCAGTATATTTTGACAACAACAACATTACCCCAGTGCCTCAAAGGCTCCCGCCCAATGCAGGGTAAGGGGGGGTTGGATGTATGCAGCCTGACCTCTATCTTTAAAGCATAGAGCAGCTGTTTCAATAAAGGAAAGTTTCAAGCTCTCATGCAACTCCAAACACATTTTGTTCATTGTGAGACCTAAAAAGGGCATCTATGCTATATCCATTTTGGCAGTGTCAACCAACTACTTAATCTTTCTCTTCGCACAAACAAACCTTCTAGTAGTAAATGAGAATCCTCTGTGGACTGAAGTCCAAAAAGGGTAAGCATACACAGTTTAACCACAAAAATAAATTATACCTTTGTAATCCTCAATATTAAAAGTTGCAACAAACTCGTTATTTTGAGCCTGTAAAACATAATGACAATCATATCAGAGTAATCCGCTAGGGCTAGAGTGAAAAATTATATGGCCAAAGAAATGAATATGGAAATTCTTGAAAAGGGAAAAAGCGACCAAAATTAACTTCCGTCCGAGATTAGTAAAAAAGGACCTGAATTTGTATTAGTAATTGTTCTTGTGCCTCAATGTTTCGTCCAATTTCTTGACAAATGTGATCATACTTCCCTATCTCCTTTCGAAAAAGATCTTCATGAGAGCATGTAGATGTCATCAACTTAGGAAGGATATCATCCTGAAAAAAATTTAAAAGAACGATCAGTACTTTCGCAAGCCCATCAGCATTGGCATTAAAATTCAGATTCTGCATTTTGGTTTTACCTTCCTCTTCATCTCCTTCAACATGTCTTCAAGACCTGCTCTCTCAGCACCAAGACTCTCTAACTGCCTCTGTAGATATATTAATGAGAGGCAAGTGTAAAAATTCCAATCTAACAAGAATAGAAAAAAACCATGAATCAATATCTTTTAACCCAGTATAATCACAACTTCGTTGGGGGTTTGGGGCGTTAAGACTTAAGATGTGAACAACCATTTTGAGTCTATTATTTACCCAAACTAAAATATTTGTGATTATGACTCTTTTAGCTCCATTGGCATTGGACAAACAAATTCCAATTGGCTAGGTAACTATATCTGTAATTCTCTATAAAGTTTTACTAAATTGCCAGCAAATGGAAATTTCATTATTAACTTACTGTCAATGGTACAACAAGAAGACATGGTTAACGAAAATCTCATTTTTACATAAGCAAACAATAGAAGTATGGGAAGTTAAAAATTACCAAACTCTGCTTCAGCACTCCGACAATGGCATCTTCATTGGCATCTAATGACATAATTGGCCTTGCAAGGGTGGGGAGCGAAAATTCAATCTATTGGAGAGTAGAACCAAATCAAGAAACCTGCTTTTGTTAGCATGCACCAGAAAGGAGTAGCCTAACTACATAGCTCCCATTAAAGGGACACAACACTTTCATGATACACAAGACTCATGAGATGGATGAATGGAAGCATGCAACACATGCCTTGATACTTGAGGCCAATATCTCCTCATGTAGAGACATATTTTGAATGCCACAAAACAGAACAATTGAAGCACCCGCAAACACGGGGCTATGATGCATGAAAATATTTTGGAATCCAATTATCGAAATCATATACTCAAGGTGTATCATTAATCTCTTAGAAAAATCCACTTGATGTACTTTTTAACCTTTTCAACCATAATCAGGATATCAAGTCCTTTGACTATTTGAATCATCGATGCCAATAAATCTTGCAATTTGGGATATCCGGATAAAAATGACTTGAAAGTAGATGAGAAGCTTTCATCTTTTTATGCATGCATCTGAGTGTGTAAACTTGACCTCCGCCTAGGGAAAATGAGATATAAAGCAAAATAGTTGTGCAGATACATACAGGGCGGCAATCAAGTATTGACATTAGAGCAGCATGATCCCTCACAGATCGCTCAATTCTGGCATCGCTTTCTGCTGCATGCTTCAGGTTTGCTACAAATCTGTTCAATCTGTCCTGCAAGTTCTTTGTCAATGTACTAGATTGAGGCCTAGTCCAACGAGTTCCAAATTGGCTCCTGAATTGAGCATCCTCTGTTGCTTCCTTTTGCAAGAGCTCTTCAGTTTGGACTAGCAGCTCATGATTCACCCTCCTCAGATCTCTCAGTTGCTGTAGCTCAGCTTCAAAGGCAGCTGGACCCCCACAAATTTGTACCGCTTCTACATCTTCTTTCAGAGCACTCGGTAGATTGCAGTTTCCCTCCAAAGCAAGAATTGAATCAGGAAGGTCCATTTCCTTGAGCCTCACTCGAGCTAATTCACTTCCCTGTTGCAGCCTCTCAGCTTGGGTCCTGATGACATCATCAACCATTTCAGTATACCTTGAAAGAGCTTTGGCACTGCTGTCAGGGACAAGACTGGCAAACATCTTTTCCTTGCTTGCATCCAGAACCTCATCCATGGGCATTGGTTTCACCATTGAAAATGCTGGAAGAGATGTCAAAGAACTAGCTGGAGGGACCCTCATGAGATAAACTCTGTTATTCTCCTTCACAGCTCTTTCCAGGTTATTATTTAAGTTTGTCTCTAGTTTGTTTGCAGCTTCCATTAGCTGCGGAACTGCACCCTTTGGTGATGATTTTTTTGCTTCGGACAAAGCACTAATCCCACACTTCAACCTTGCGATCTCCTCAGCAATCTCTTCTTTTCCATGGAGTTCTAGACTATATCTATAACAAGCCTCTGCATAAAACAAGGCTGCCTTAAGCTGAACATGTGTTAACCAGGCTTTGTCAAAATGGTGATTCAGAGGTGCAGAGTTTAATGCGGCCAAAGCTTCTTCATAATACATCCCGACCTGTATTATATAGATATATGTCCACTTTATGGTCAAAGAATTGTAGCAATTGCTAACGCTTGGAAAGTAAGCCTTGTGATTGACATAAATTGTCAAACAAACTACCTCAAAGCTACGTTCCTAGTTACCACATGTCTCCCTAACTCCACACCACCCCATAATAATAGAAAAGCCTTATTTGTACCAAAGAAAAGATACTTGTTTGATTTCCAAAAAGAGTCCCGATAATGTAAGTTTAATTAGACAAACCGATAACTGAAAAACTAACCAATGACTTATAAAAATTGTAGCTTGTTTAAACTAAAAGGTTGTACTACGGAAAAACATGGCTCTTCTTTTGGGAAGGAGGTAGTGGCATGAGCTTATTCAGTTCTATGGAAAGCATGATTTTTTAAAAAAATTAAAAAGGCATTCCCCTGTCCTAAAGAGCTATATTTCAAAAACGTTTGTCCTAAAAATAAGAGTCAAGGAAGCTAATTTTGGCAAGGCATTGCGAGAAAAAAGTCAAATACATTTTAAATATGATTTTTTGCTCAAACAAACAATTCAATTTTAAAACTACAACCCCGTTGAATCCACAAGAGTACGGTTTGGGCCCCTACTCTGAAGTAGGGAGACTATTTCCAAGAGACCCCCGGCTCAACAACTTCATTTTCAAACACGTATATATGACTCATGATTTATAACACTCTTTTACTTCACAAAAAATTAAAAGGTGTGAACTTTTCAAGGAGGACTACTTTTGGGAAGGAGGACTACTTTTGGGATGGAGGCAGTAATACGAAAAATAAGAAAACAGTAAGAAACTAACAAAACTTGCCTACCTGTCTAGAGATTTTTGCAGAAACCCCAGGAGTGCTTCCCTTGGCAATAGTATTCTCAAAAACACATTCCTGAGCTTGAGCAAGCATCAGCTTTTCCAACATCCCAGCACACTCCACAGAGATATCCACAGTGGTGGAGTTCCCCGGTGATGCCTTCATAGCTACCTTCTCTCTCAAGAAATTGAATGCCCCGGCTGCCGCCATAAATGAGTGTGATGCCTGCCTTCTCCCATCAACAGATGATCGATCAAAACTCAGCCCCATTTGACTGTGAACTGACCCCAAATTAAACAGAACCGCTGCTTTTTCTATATAGAAACACAAAGTCCATTTATCACTATAACCAAATGTCACATATTAACAGGCAATGCAACTTCACAATGTCAAGTAGTCACTACCGAATGCCTATTGTACTTGATGCCAATTGTCACGATTACCCTCACACCAAAATACCAAATAGTACCCAATGTTGATGTTACGAATAAGGCACTCGGCGGGCACAGATTGGAAATTAGTGTAAAAGAAAGTTCAGATTAGGTGAACCTCAATGTGTTAGGACAAATTGAATGTGGCAAGCACAACTCCTAAGTCCTAATTGAGGGTCTAAGCTCAAAGATGAATCAGATTCAAAAATATATATACCCAAATTGATGTTCTGCTGAACCGCCTTCTGTTTGCTCTTGAAGGCATCGTACCAGGTAAAGGTCACGGTGTTGATGTGATCCTTATCGGGGGAGATGGGGAAGCGAGACTCGGCGGCGCAGAGAGCCCTGTAGTACTTCTGGAGGAGATCGCGGCGGGACGGGAAGGAATCGGGAGTGCAGCGCTCGAGGTCGGAGCGGAGCTCCCTGAGCGTCTCCAGATCTTCCTCTAGGTTCTGAGCCTCTCGCTCGGAGTAGTTGACGGCGATGTAGTTGCGGAGAGGCCGGTACAGGTCCATGGAAACCGTCTTCTTCTCGTGGACTGCTAGCATGACATTCGCAGTCGTGGACGCCGCAGAGGAAGACGGCGCCGCCATGATCACTTCCACCGGCGGTTGATCAGGCAATCGGAGTAGCGCGTGAAGAAGTCCTCCGTAGAAACCTCAGGATATCAACAAAAAAAAGGAAAGAATAATTAAGGCGTGATTAAAAGAATACTGTACTTCTTTACTCCCTAATATACCCTTCGGTATCTCTCACTTACTTTTTCCATCAAAATTGATACATTTTGTGTTTAAATTAAATAAAGATAATATTAAATATTGATACAAAAATAATTTTATTAGATTTATTGAATAAATATTTTCAAATTTTTATTTTATTTAATTATTATACAATATACGGAGTATATTTTATTTGATTCTAGGTCAAAACGTTAAAAATAAATGAATGCAAAAAGTTAAAATTGGACAATAATCCAGAATGGAGATAATATTTTAGAATATTAGGGACTATAAAAATAAAAAGTGAACTTTACATTTTGTTTTATAAAAAGATAATTACTTTCATAACTCCCATGTTATTAGGGAAAAAAATATGTTCGGATCTTAATATCGCAAACTCTTCTTGATCACATAATAAAATTTGTTCCTAATACATATTAGTGATATTACTACTTTGTACAATTGTACTTTTATCACCTCTATTAAAAGTCAAATTCAAACATTATTTTTTTTTGCATTATTTCTTTTAATTTATTTTTCTAAATAGATTAAAATCTTTAAATAACGTATAAAATCTTATTTCCTTTAAATTTATTTTATTTATAAATTGACATAAAAATAATAAATAAAGTTTATATGCTCGTATTTTAAAACTTAACAAAAAATTTGCAAAATAAAAGATGACAAAGAATATTCATTTCAGAAATGATTGATAAAAACGTCCTGCTTTAATTTGCATATATTCCGAGTAATAAACAAAAGTTTTGGATGGTGTAGAATTAGGGGTGGGCACGGATCGGGACGGTCCGGATTTTAGGTTGTCCCACGTCTTGTCCCGTTATATATAAACGGTCCAGAACGGTTTGTATCATAATCTAATCCCGGTTTGTCCCATAAAATTTGGGATCGGAATAAAACGGAACGGATTCGGGTCGTCCTACTTTGTCCTAATCGCAAATATAAGAAGGGGAAGAGGGTGACATTTCATTCAAAAAAAAGAAACATCTAGCCATCCAACAAAAAACAATGAGTGGAATGGGTCCAAATAAATTTCAAGCTCATGAAGTTAATTTAATTAAATAACTAATTAATTAAAAAATGAGTGTATTTGGATTTTGAACTAGAATTAGTATTATATATTAGTAGAGTAGATGAAACGGGACAAACGGGACGGATCGGTATAAATTTAAGTTGTCTCATTCATGTCCCAATTGATATTGGGACGGAACGGGTTCGGGATATAAAAAATGTGTCCCAAAATATCGGTACAATCACAAAACGGATCCGTGATTTTTCGGGACGATCCAACGGGAACGAATTTCACACCCACCCCTATATAGAATTGTGAAAGTGCAATCCTTTTAAGGCTTTGCTTGTTTGAAGGGATGTGGAATGGAAATGAGAGGAGTGGAGAAATATGAAGGATATAAAAGTTAAAAATCTTAATTCCTAGTGATCCAAAGAACTGATGGAATAAATATGGAGATCTTAAATTCCTCTATACGGAGTATATTCTAAATCAATGTTCCCATGTTTGACTTTATACAAAATTTAAAAAAGTAATATTGTATGATAGGAAATGAGGTAGATGAAAGGAAAAAAAGGATAAACTATAAAAAACTTTGAATTAATTTTGGATAGTTTAAAAAAATAAAGATAATTAATTTAGGACGGGAAAATATTAGGAGCTAAGTAGTGTAATCTTTCATATCTCCAACAAAAGTATGCCCCAACAGTCATTAAATAATGTTATTAACGTTGAAAATCCGTAATAATTAAATGAGAGGAATTTATTGCAATTAGAAGAGCATTAGTACTACTCCCTCCGTCCCAAAAAGATTTACACGTTTCAAAAAAATTGCGTCCCACAATCCATTACCCATTTCTATTAAAAAATCACTTTTACCCCTTACTTTTTCAAACCCTACTTATCACATCATACATTTTTCCTAATAATCTAAACATCACATCCTACTTTTACCCATCACATCTAGGGTATTTTTGGAAAGTCAACACAAAATTATCATTCCCTTAATTTCAACTTTAGTCAAAATAGGTAACACTTTATGGGACGGAGGGAGTATTAAAGATAAGACACATACTTTCATAGTTTTAATGTTCTTTTTAAGGACCATGCTACACTTACACCAAAGATGTACACCACTTGTACACCACAGTTTTGTACAAACATTTTGATGGTTTACACCGACACAAGTGTTGGTGCATTAATAAAAATTTACACGGACACAAATGTTGGTGAGTTAACAAAAATTAGTTTTATACCAACACAAAATGTTGGTGCAAACCTGCGGGGTACAAATTAGGGTACAAATGTTGGGGTACGCATAGCTTAATCCTCTTTTTAATTATATGGACCTTTTTGATGTAGATTCTTTAGTATTAGTATTAAAATTAGTATTAAGATTAATATTGGGATTAGAACTAACATTAGGATTAATAGATTAAGATTAGGATTAAAAGATTAGTATTGGGATTAAGATTTACAATTAAAATAAGGGTCCGTTGGTACACAGAATTGATGGAATTGAAATTAAAATTCCATGGGATTCAATTCCATAAAATTTGAATTTTGCCAATTTCAATTCATTTTTTACACTGTCAATTCCAAATCTACATAGTTTTTATGTTACCAAACACCAGAATTAGAATTAGAGTCTTCAATTCTGATTCCATAGTTTGAATTCTGTGTACTAAACGGGGCCTAAGGATTTAAATTAGGGATTATCTTAGGTAAAATAGTTGATGTGTAAGAATGTTTAGGAATTAGGCATAGACTTTTAGATAATGTTTGGTAAATGATTGTTGAGGTACTCTTTAGATGTTATGACCATGAATAGCTTTTTTGACTTTTCAATCCACCAAAAAAAATGTTTGGGTGTTGGCCTTTGGTGCCACGAACAACCAACATAGGTCGCGTTTCCAATTGGTTGATTGCATCTGTTTAATTTTTGGGTTATGCTACATTTACACCACAAATTGTACCACATTGGTACACCGTAGTTATACACAAACATTTTGATGATTTACACCGACACATGTGTTGGTGCGTTAACAAAAATTTACACTAACACAAAATGTTGGTGCATTAATAAAAATTAGTTTTACACCAACATAAAGTGTTGGTGCAAAGCTACAGGGTACAAAGTGGGGTACAAAACATGGGGTACAAATAACTTTACCCTTAATTTTTCGGTCATGCTACACTTACACCACATATTGTACCCTATTTGTACACCGCAGGCATACACAAACATTTTGATGGTTTGCACCGATACAAGTGTTGGTGCGTTAACAAAAATTTACACGGACACAAAGTTTGTATGCATTAACAAAAATTGGTTTTACACCAACATAAAGTGTTGGTGCAAACCTGCGGGGTACAAAATTATGGTGTACAAGTAGCTTTATCTTTAATTTTTTGCCCTTAGTGAGCCGTTTCCAAAAAAAGATGTCCCCATTTTCGTCATTTTTTTATGAAAGCACTCTTTTTCTTTATTCCAATCTTTTTCTTATCGTGGACATGTTTCTTCATCTCAATAATTTTTATAAGAGAAATTTACCTAAATAAGATGCATAATGATTTTCCTAATATAAAACCATATATTTTTATTTTTCAAAGTAGGACCTTTAGTCATTATCAAATAGTCATTATTTTAGTAAATGTCCATCATTACTAGACATTATTCCTTCTACTAGTTCATTATTTAGTCCTATTTAGAGAAATAAAAGAGTTTAAGTCCTACATTAAAAAGTCATTATGTTTTAGTTCTATTTACTACAAATATCACTTTTTATGATACTCTACTCTTCTTTTTTTTAATGAAATTATTATAAATGCGTATAGAAAATAAATAGTGTTTAAATTATAGGTGTTCAAAATTAACTTTAAAAAATCTATGTGTTTTAAACAAAATTTAAGAAACAAACTCCTTTTCATACCTCACATATGTGGGATCCTACTGGGTTCGTGTTATCAATATTTAAAAAAAATAAACTATTCAAAACAACAAATTAATTAACACATTCTTTCAAAAAAATTATTCCCTCCGTCCTATATCTTTCTTCCCGGTTCGCAAAACGAAGAAAAATCCCAAATTTTTTCAATCTATTTTATTTAAATATTGGTATAGAAATAAAAAATAAAACATACATATTTAAAAACTACATCAAAAGTTCAACAAAACAAGTGGTGACAAGAATATTTTATTTTATCATATAGGCTATGAAAAAACACAAATAAGTATAAATTCCCGTGAAGTTGGAATAGTGCTCTGGGAAGAAAGTTTTAGGACGGAGGGAGTAATTAACATACTTGGAGATATGTCTAAATATGTAATTTTCACTACAAACAACTGTTTATGAACAATTAAATTTACTAAATATTTTTTTAACAGCTAATACAATCCACCGGTCAAAACATCTAATTCAATCAATCATTCAAAACAACCAACACAAACAGTCAACCGCCAACATATAACTACCAACATCCAAAAAATGACTTATTGCACAAAATCACCACTCTAAAGATTAATATTAAATAGAGTAAATTCTATAAATGGTCCTTTATAACAGGGGGGTTTCCCTATTTAGTCCTCTATTATCAAATAGTATTACCCAAGTGGTCCTTCTTTTATGGGTACCTTTCTACAAATAGTCCTTTTTTTAATCTTCTATCATGTTGGTGTAATTTCACAATGATAATATATCTTCTTTGTCATACACAATTCCAAAGGCTGTTCCGCTTGCATCGTTTGTGAATTACAGTCGCTTTTTACGACAACTATAGTCTACAAATGTGATCTTTCATCAGAATTCTAGCTCACAACCATAGTCATTATTTTTGTGTTATCCGCTTAACCAATATTAGAACACGTCACTAGACATAATGTTGACGTTAAATTATATTTTTAGCCTTTAAATTAACACCAACACGGCAGAAGATCAAAAAAATGGTCATTT